CACGGCTGGCCAATGTGAAGTCAGCAGCCTCAGCAAAACTTGAGGGCAAAGACAGCCATTAAAGTGCCACCCAGCTGGCTTTGCATTCTCTAGCAACACTCAGGCTACAACTGCAAGGCCTGCTGCAGCATCCGCCAGTGATCAGCAGGTATGTCACCAAAAAGGCAGGGACACCACCTCACACCTTAGAGCCAGAGTGGTCGCTTAGCTATGTTGGGGTGCTCTCACCTGACAGAAACACAGCATGCACGGACAAGTCCCCTGCAGGGACCCAGGTCCAGGAGCAGAGGTCCAGTTGCCCTGGGACAAATACAAACAGCACCCTCCGTCCCAGCACCTCCTAAAGCCAGGTCTACATTCGAGCTGCTGCAGGCCGTGTCTGCTCTGCCTTCTGTGAGTTGCTGGTGGCTTTCCACAGAGCAAGGGCTGGGGTTAAAGGGTTAAAGGAGAGATGAAGCGAGGCCGTCTACAGGACAAGCTTCCCCAAAGCCTGACCTCTGCACTGCAGTGACTTGGGAGGGCTCACCATAGACAAGAAGCCAAGGCAAGTCCTCACTTACCTTGGGCGAGATCCCTAGCAGGTCTACTCCCACAGCTGGTGTGACTTCAGTTTCCTTGGGCTCACCCTAGGGCACACGTGGTCACCACTGTGCTGGACAGCTCCTGAACGGCACCAGGGGACACATCCAAAGCCTAGAGCCTCAACACACCCAGCACATCACTTCAAAGCACCAAGAAAAGTCGCCCCCAGCTGGATATGGTGACGCAGGCCTTTAGTCCCAGCACTCGGGAGGCAGAGGCAGGTGGATCTCTTGTGAGTTCCAGGCCAGCCTGGTCTACATAGTGAGTTCCAGGACAGCTGGGGCTACAGGGAGACCCTGTCTCAAAAGACAAAAAAAAAAAAAAAAGAAAAAGAAAAGTCACCCCTTGGAAAAAGTTCCAGCTTCTAGAACACAGGCCACGAACACCTGGCTGTACACCTGTGGCAGGAACAACCCACAAGACATCTGCCCACCGTCTACTGCAGAGTGCTAGTCTGCCAGGCGGAAGCCTGTCCTGAGTGCCAGGCGGGAGCCTGTCCTGAGAATAAGGTCCCTTGGGACAGCCAAGCACTCACAGTGTCCAAGGACCGTGTATTGAATGCTGGGCAGTCAGGAGTTTACCACCAGGAGCAATCTCAGCTAAGCATCAATCCAAACCACCTGAGATAAACAAACTGTGGTCCAGCCAGGTGATGAATGACTATTACTCAGCCATAAAAATGAGCAAACTGCTGTGCACATGCTCACAAGAGGACCCTTAAAAATATGCCAAGTTAAAGAGCCCGGCACAAAAGGGCAACTCTGTGTGTTTCCGTTTACATGATATGAACAGAAAAGACAAATCCATGGAGACAGGGTGGACCATGGATGACTGTGTGGGGGCAAGAGGACCCATGTCTTTAAGGGCAGGGCAGGTGATCTCAAGTTCGGCAGAGACAATGGCTGTGACTGTGTAACACCCTGACCAGCACAACTCAGAGTAAGTACTCCCCTGAACCAGCCCCCACCACTGATACAGTGTACAAAGGTCTGCCCAGCCTGGCCTTGAATTCCAGGTCCTCTTGCCTCGGTCTCCTGAGTGCTAGCACCCCACACAGGCCCACACCCCACGCCTAGCCAAAGGTCTGGGGTTGAACTGTTCCCTAAGCCATGGCTTTCTATTTAAATAAAACAGTCAGGCAGGGGTGGGTCCAGGCCCCTGTCCTCACCTGAGCATCTAAGGGACAGTAAGCCTAGGCCCTGCAACCTGTCTTCCTCCTATCAGTTGCTAAATATAATGAAGCTTCCTTCTGCTGTAAACCACGCCTATTTAATACTCCCACACCTGTCACACCAGCACCCATGAGGCTGAGACAGGAGAATAGCAACTTCTAAGAAAGGAAGGAAGCTTGGGCAGTGAGACCTTGTCTCAAACAAACTGAACCCAGCACTTTTAAACTTTTAGAATTCCTCACACAATAGCATTTTTATATTTGTTTACTTATTATTTATTTATTTATTTATTTATTTTTGCCTCAGGAGACAGGGGTCTCCCTGTAGCCCCAGTTAGCCTGGATTCACTGTGGAGACCAGGCTGGCCTCAAACACACAAAGATTCACCTGCCTCTGCTTCCGGAGTGCTGGGATTAAAAGTATGCACCACCACGCCAGGCAACAATAGAATTTTTAAATTAAAAAAAAAAAAAAAGTGTGCTGGAGAAATGGCTCAGTGGCTAAGAGTACCAGCTGCTCTTGCAGAGGACCAGGGTTTGATTCCCAGCACCCACATGGTGGCTAACAACTGTAACTCCAGCTCCAAAGGAATCCAACGCCCTCTTCTGACCTCTGTGGGAACTACCATGGGTCCACTTACACTCATGCAGGCAATACACTCATATATATATCATTTTTAAAAATGTTTTAAAGTGAAGGTTTAGAGAAGTGACCAAAAATAGAGTTCTTCAGAAAGCACAGTTAAAAGAACTAAAAATTTAAACTGGACAAAGATGTCTAAAAGCAACCCCCATCTTCATTCCGAGAGAAACACAGTTTCACGTTGAGACCAGGAGCAACAGCTTAGAAAGGCTGTTCAGAGTCTGCCTCTCCTGGCACAGCCACCACAGGTCTCCACCACAGCTAAGCAGGCACTCAGGCTGGACTCCACCGGGGTCCCTTCTAAGCACACCATGGAACGTCAATTTCAGAGTAGCTAGGTGAGCTGAAGTCCCTTTGCCAGTGAAATCCAGTCGGTTTGGACATGGGCAGCCGAGGCCCAGGCTGCACTGCTCAACAAGAGCATGCATTACCAGGGTCAAGCAGCAGCACCCCCTCCAAAAGTGACCCCAAGAGTTGCAGGTCCACTGATGACTCAAAACTGCAAACGCTGCAAAGTTCATGGCAAGGCACAAATGTTTAGGGCAGACAAGGGACACACTTCTACAATGTGTTTAAAAAGCCAGCATGGCAGCCGGGCACGGTGGCTCACACCTTTAATCCCAGCACTTGGGAGGCAGAGGCAAGCAGATCTCTGCGAGTTCGAAGCCAGCCTGGTCTCCATGGTGAATCCAAGACAGCTGGAGCTACAGGGAGACCCTGTCTCAAAAAGACGGGGGGAGGGGGGGGGGGAGAAAGCAGCGTGGGAAGCCACACTGATGCAGCTGCCGGCTCATCCTTTTCACCCCTGGAGACCTGCAGCCCAGCGTTCCACTGCACAGACCCTGAAGACCAGGTCACACAGGTGCTGACTGGTGCTGCCTGGACACTAGATTACCCCATCAACTCCCAAGCAGCACACTTCTGCCTGGCACAGGCTCTTACAGGAACAGTGTGCTGGGGGTGGCAGGGGATGGTAGGGGCAGTGGCAGAACACCTGCCCAGCTGGCACAGCCCTCTAGGCTCCTTCTCCAGCACTGGGTGGATGGGAAAACCCAAGGTGCTTCTACTCTGAATTCACTGTCCTACCAAAGTCAGTCACCACCTTCTGCATAAAGCAGCACCCCTGAACCCACGAGAGCTCCCTTGAAAAGCGGTCCTGCTACAGCAGGGGTGAGGGGAGAAACAAGCTCGGACTCGGACAGGCTAACCGCAGGGGAGGGGACCACGGCCACCTAGACTCCAGACAGGTGACAGTGTGCTGGCGTCGGGGCTGCCCAGCACACAGCGGTCTTCTTGCTCCCAGCTCTTCCTGTTGACGCCTGCCTAGCGCAACAGGGAAGGGAGGTGGGAGCTGCACATGCAGAGAGGAAAGCCGCAGTCTCAGAAGCAAAATGTCACCAAAAAGATAAGGCACCATAGAAACCAACCCGCACCCCACAACCACTTCTTAGAGGAAGACATTAAAAAGGAGAAGCCACAACCGAAGTCTCAAAGAAAAGTAAAAGCAACGAGTACGTGCCAACCAGCACCGCCAGGCCAAGTGGTAGCAAAGTCAGAACTCAAAGGCACTGCCTGGGCGGGCAGGACAGGAGGGCCCAGGCTGCAGGACAGGGGCTGCAGTCCACCTGCCCAGGGTTTCCTGGAGCCCTCAACACCCACTCAAGCCAAGCCGCCTTTTTTCTCACAGCCAACGTCGTCCTGGGCTCCAGGGCTGTTAAAAGCTCTGCAAGGCCCAAAGGCCTTGGGTTGAGCACTCAAACACTCCGACAAAAGTTCGCGTTTCTGAGCTGCTGACCGCGCTGCCCTTCCGGCCCCAAAGGTGAGCGGTCATCCCTAAGTCATGCCATCCCGGTGAGCTGGGCTGCTCCCCTGGCGATCACCTGCGAGGGCGGCAGCGGCCTGGATGCACTCCGCAGCATGGATGCCCTCGGCAGCATGCACAGCCTGCACGGCGGCACACGCGTACACACGTCCGCGCACACAGCACTCCTGGCATGCACACGCGCGCCCGCGGACCCGCCACGACAAGCAAGCGCGCACGCACCGAAAGACACCTGTACGGGGCAGACAGGGCCAGGGCCGACCTGGGCCCAGGTTCTAGCGCCTTCTCAGAAGCGCCTCCCAGGTATAAACGCCAGACTGGCAAGAGCAAGGCGACGCAGGGCTGGACTGTCATCTGTCACTAAGAGCCAGATTGACAGGACAAAGGCCTTGTCGCGTCTCCGGCGTCGGATCCGACCCAGGACGCACAAAGGGACCGCGAACGAAGTGACGCGGGCCAGAGTCCCCCACCGGTCCCCTACCGAATCCCTACCAGGCCTCCCCACCGGGTCCCCTACTGGGTCCCCACCAGATCCACATCAGATCCCCTCACCGGTCCCCTACCGGATCCCCACCAGGTCCTCCACCAGGTCCCCCATCGGATCCCCACAGGTCCCCTACTGGGTCCCCACCAGATCCACATCAGATCCCTCCACCGGTCCCCTACCGGATGCCCACCAGGTTCCCCACCGGGTCCTTCCACCAGGTCCCCCATCGGATACCCCCCAGGTCCCCACCGGTCCTCTACCGGGTCCCGCCATCGCGTCGCGGGCGCGCGCTCACCTTGTGGCAGGCCGGGCAGGTGAGCACCGCACCGCCCGGCGCCGGTGCGCTCTTGCCCCCGGGCCCCCCGCCGCCGCCGCCGCCGCCGCCGCCCAGGCTGCCCCGGGTCTGCGGGAGCTCCCGCTCTTGCCCCCGGGCCCCCCGCCGCCGCCGCCGCCGCCGCCGCCGCTCAGGCTGCTCTGGATCTGCGTGAGCTCCTGGCGCAGCACCTGCTTCTGGTGGAAGCTGAAGGCCGGGTGGTTGGACGCCATGGTGAACAGCAGCAGGAACTCATCGCCCGTGCGGCCCTCGTTGAGCTGCAGTCCGTAGTTGTGGATGATGGAGTCGGTGTGCGTGAGCGTGCGGTACAGGACGCCCGCCGCCTCGCGCTGCTCCGAGCCCAGCAGCGCCAGCGACACCAGCAGCTTGCTGCGCACCACCTCGTCCGTCAGGTTGGTGAGGCTGCCCAGGTCGGCCGGGTTGTTGGCCTTGATCTCCGAGTCGCGCAGAGAGTGGTAGTCCTTGCGCGCCAGGTCCTCCAGGCACGAGCCGAGGAAGCGCAGCTCCAGCGGGATGCACAGGTCCAGCAGGCCGCACAGGAACTCCACGCGCTGCGGCGACGGCAGCTCGGAGAACCAGCGGTACACGCCGTCCCTCTGCAGCGGGCCGCGCTTCCCGGGTTGTTGGCCTTGATCTCCGAGTCGCGCAGAGAGTGGTAGTCCTTGCGCGCCAGGTCCTCCAGGCACGAGCCGAGGAAGCGCAGCTCCAGCGGGATGCACAGGTCCAGCAGGCCGCACAGGAACTCCACGCGCTGCGGCGACGGCAGCTCGGAGAACCAGCGGTACACGCCGTCCCTCTGCAGCGGGCCGCGCTTCTCCACCATGCTGCCGCCC